AGCCACTGCCCGACGCTTGGCCTCCAGCTCGTCGCGCTTGGCAGTGGCCTCCTTGATGACATCGTTCTTCGACTCCACTTCACCAGTGAGCTTCGCCAGCTGCTTCTCCGCCCTGGCCAGGCGGTGTCCGACGTTGGTGTGCTGAGTGAGGTCGCTCTTTTTGGCATCCAGCTTGGCGCGGACCTCACGCAACTGAGCGACCAGCAACTCCTTGGCTTAGGACATGTGCTCCTTGCCGCAAGCCTTGATGGCATGCTCGAGCTCCGCCGCCTGGGCCACCAGGGGGTCCTCAGCCTGCTCTGTTGACTCCGCCTGGGCTCGCACCACTTTTGCCACCGCCGACGTGGCTGCCGCCCTGTGGAGAGGACTTGAGTAGCAGGTCGAAGCGCTTGGTGATATCTGCCAGCTGCTTCTCGAGCTTCGCCTGGCGCTTATCCCCGAGCACGTGCGACCCCCCCCCCCCCCCCCGAGGAGCAGCTGCACCAGGACCCGCTCCATTGCCGAAGGTCTTTGCACGGTCCAGAACATGCTTGGGCGCCTTTTGTCCGCATTGACACTGCAATATGCACGCCCAGTTGCTCGTTCTTCCACATTTCTGGCAGCTCCAATATGGCGTCCGCGGCCCTGTGACGACTGCATCAATGCTTGGTTCCCTCAGGAGCACGGTAGGTATGCTCCAGCAGGAGCTCACAAATCACCAAAACCGAGCCAAAGGCCCGCAACAGCGCTTGGCCGTTTCGAAGAGGCATGCTGTTGCAAGCTCAGAAAAATCTGAGCCGAAACGGCTGCGGAGGAGGAGGAGGAGGAGGAAGAAGAGGAGGAGGAGGAGGAGGAGGAGGAGGAGGAGGAGGATTCTTGCAGCACGCGGCCCCCGAAGTCCCGACTCCGACCCTTTCCCCAGGAACGGGCTTTCCAGCCCGAGTCGTTTTGCTGACGGTCCCGAGGCCCAGCGAGGGCCTCCAAAGGCCGAAAACGGACAAAAGCCTTCCGTCCTGGTTTTCATACGACTCGATGGTGTTCGCTTGCACCTGATTGACTTGAGTCGTTGTTTGACGGTCCCGAGGCCCAGCGAGGGCCTCAAAAGAGTCCCGACTCCGACCCTTTCCCCAGGAACGGCTTTCCAGCCCGAGTCGTTTTGTCGACGGTCCCGAGGCCCAGCGAGGGCCTCCAAAGGCCGAAAACGGACAAAAGCCTTCCGCCCTGTTTTCCATACGACTCGATGGTGTTCGCTTGCACCTGATTGACCTGAGTCGCTTTTCGACGGTCCCGAGGCCCGGCGAGGGCCTCCGAAGGCCGAAAGCGGACAGAAACCTCCCGTCCTGGTTTTCATACGACGCCTCTCTCGGCCGCGACGTGATGCCCAGCCTTCTTTTGCCCTCCCTCTCCAATTAATGCTGTGCGCGGTCCGCTTAGCATCTATCGGAAGAGGTTCGCTCTCGCCCCGCAGATGAGAAAAAAATAAATAAATAAAAAATGTCCATACGACGCAATCCTGTCTGGGGAGGCGGCGCCGGCACGCGGAGGTGCGCCGGGGGGGCTGGCGGCTGCGCTCGCCGGGAGCTCCAGGGCAGCAGCGCTGGCAGCGCTCCCGGGCGCCAGAGGCAGGCCGGGGGGGGCGCCCCGAGCGGGCGTTCTCCGGCAGCGGGCGCTGCGCGGCGCGGTGTGCGCTGCGGAGGCGGGCTGGTGAACTTGCAGGGAGCTCCCTGGCAAGAGCATTAGTAGGGGGCCCCCGGCGAACCCGACCCCTACCCCCCACGATTTCCGAGGGGGAGGGTGGGGTTCACTCCGTTCGGGAGCTCCCGAGCGAAGTGAACCCCACCCTCCCGCTCAGACATCGTGGGGGGTAGGGGTAGGGTTCGCATGTGGCCTCCTAATTAGCCACGGGATGTGCGTGCCCCCGGAGCGGGCTTCCGAAGACGGACAGAAGCCCCTTTGGTCAAGCGCGGTTTAGTGAAAGCGACCTCGGGCCCAAACCTGGCGGGCGCAAGCCTGGAAAATGACGGCCGCGGCGCCCTCTCGAGAACCGAAAACGGGCGATTCACTAATCGACGTGCCAGGGTGGGGGTTCTGTCCACCCCCGAGGCTTCCTGGAGGCGTCGAGGGCAGCACCTATCACGTGCCGCCAGCGCAAGCGCATGCGCCCCAAGTGAGTGAGCTTCCTAGAAGCAGCGCTCGGCATCGCGGTCGGCGCCTTGGCACGGGGCGAACGGGTCCCGAGAGAAACGGGTCCTGGACCCGGGGTCTTCCTTCACCCTGGGTCCTTCGCTGCCCCGACATGCAACACGCAGCACGCAGCGTGCCCACACAGAGCTCACACGGAGACTGAAGGCGTAGGTCTGGCGCGATGCGCTCGCCAAAGCGTGGACCAACACGTGCCGAGCCGACGCGCAGCGTGCCAATACGTTTCAGCATGGGCGCGCCGGGGCAGCCCAGCCTGGGTCCTGTTGTTGAACGTCGGGGCCCGTGGAGGGCCCTGGGTGAGCCACGAAAACTTGGGAAACGAGAAGGTACAGTCGGGGCGTTGACCGAAGGAACCCTAAATAAGGAACGAAGCCCCTTTTCTTCCATAAGTTAAACTTCGATTTCCTATCGGAAACATAAGGATGACCTGAGGCAAGCTGTGAAACACTTAAGGAACGCGGAGCCCCTCCCCAACGAAAAGGGTTCCTTCTTCAGGGCTCCGACTGTACCGATACCCCTACTCCTGGGTGACCTCTCCTGGGGTGCGTTCTGGCGTGAACGTCAAGGCGACTCCAGTGGTGGCGACGGAGGCCTCCCAGGAGGCCGAACAAGGGGGAAGACGGGCGAAGGCTAGCGGTATATGAGTACCGTCTCCTTCTCTGACAGGCGGCGGGAAATTTCAGGGCCCGTTGGCCCTCAGGGCCCATTGGCTCCTCCATGGCGGTGGAGACCAGGGCGGGGGTGCTTGAAAGCGAGCCCCCGCCGGCAGCCGCGTGGAAGCCACCCCGGTGCGCCGGGAGCAGGCGGAGGGGCGCCCCCGAGATAGAGAAAGCACCGAGCCTCTACGCTGGCGGACAGCTCCTCCTCCTCCTCCTCCTCCTCCTCCTCCTCCTCCTCCTCCTCCTTTTCCTCCCCTTCCCCGAGGTCCGACGCTGCGAAAGAAGCACGGCGAAGAGCACGACGAGAGCCCTACTGCAGGCAACCCGTACAGTAAGGATGCGCGCCAAGGATGCAGGGGCCCTGAAGCGCCATGCCGACGACTGCCGAGCGGGGCTGGCCAGCGAGAGCGGCCAGGGATGGCCGGAAGGGGAGGATGCAAAGGTACTCCAGATTTCGTAATAAAGGGAGGGGGCTCTCATTTTGGGGGGGGGGTCTCTTCCAGGCTATCTTGGAGGGCCTGGGGGGATCTGGGGACGATGTTTTGGAGGGTTCTCCCACGGGGGAGGTCTGAAATGGCTTGTCTTGGAGGGTCCAGACCCCCTCCCTTTTATTAAAAAATCTGGAGTAACCTTGGAAAGTCGCTCATCCTCACTGTGCGGGTTGACTCTGCGGGCAGCGGCTCCAGAGGACCCTTGCCGCCGCTCGTCTCGGCGCCGGCGCCCTCCCAGAGCCAGGTCTTCCCCCGGTCGTCTCCACTCGGCCGGGGGCGCTGACGTCCCCTTCGGGGATGGACAGACCCCCCTTAGTAAAACGTGGTTTAGTGAAAACGACCTGAGGCCCAAACCTGGCGGGCGCAAGCCTGGAAAATAACGGCCACGGCGCCCTCTCGAGAACCGAAAACGGACAATTCACGAATCGACATGTCACTGTTAGGGGTTCTGTCCACCCCCGACCCCTCCACTGGAGGCCCTGACCACTGCCCCCGGGTAAGACGGCGCCAGGACGAGGATAGCATCGGGCGAGGATAGATCGAGAAACTCTCTGAGATCCGGCGGCTCTGGGGGACGTCTCGGGCGTCGCGGCCCTCTCGGAACGTTCTGGAAGGACGCTCTGGAACGGATTGGTCCTCGTCCTAGCCCTGTCCGAGGCCAAATCCCCTCGGGTAGCATTCCGCCCCAGATCCATGTGACCCGGGGCCCAGAAACGGCACCCGAGGGCAGAAATCTGACAAAAACGGCGGGATTGAACAGATCAGATCGCCGAGCGTCATGGAAGGAGGGCCCGGGAGTAGCTCGAAGGGGCCGTGGGGTTGACTGGGGGATACAGCCAGGGCGCGGCCCCATGGACATGAACCCCTTTGCCATGGCCGAAAGACCCATAGAGACAGCGAGGAAGGCCCAAACACGACGAGCATGGAAGCAGCCCTGCAGAGCTGGGATGCTTCTTGACCCTCGCGACCGCTGTGCCCCTCAGCGCCCTGATCCCCGCCACCCTCCTGCTGGCCCTGACTCCCCCCAGGGATGCAGGGGCTGCATAACCACCGCCAGACCCGGATCTCCGACGATCTTCCATAGGACCTCTTTTGGGGGCTACCCCAGGGATGCAGGGCTGCATAACCACCGCCAGACCCGGATCTCCGACGATCTGCCATAGGACCTCTTTTTTCATCCCGATGCTTGCTCTGTCGTGGACTTCGGCATCGGGGGGGGCCGCGTTCGGGCCCCCGGCCCCCGGGACGACACGCTACAGTCGGGGCGTTGACCGAAGGAACCCCAAATAGAAAACGAGGCCCCTTTTCTTCCATAAGTTAGCCTTCGATCTCCTGTCGAAGACATCAGGAAAACCGGAGGCAAGCTGTGAAACAATGAAAGAACACGAGGCCCCTTCCCAACGAAAAGGGTTCCTTCTTCAGGGACCCGACTGTACCCCCCCCCCCCGCGGGAAGGGGTCGCGACCTCCCTGGGGCTGCGGATGGAACGATCGCAGCGGCGGCTGCCCGGGTGAGAGAAGCGCCCGTGCAGGCGAAAAGCCCTCGAGCAAGCGCGCCCGAGGGAGCCGAGCAGGGGAAGCCCGTGCAGCAAACGTCCAGGACTGCATGGGCAACGCACTCCTCCCCCCAAAGGGGCACTCCGCGAGTCGGGCGTGTCCGGCGGGGGCACGACGGGTACTTCTGCCAGCTGGTTCCGATGCTCTCCTTCACGGCGTAGTGGCCAGGACCCGGGGACCTGGGGCGACGGGGAGGAGGAGGAGGAGGAGGAGGAGGAGGAGGAGGAGGAGGAGGAGGAGGAGGAGGAGGACCAGTAGAAACCCAAGAGTCATCAACGAAATTGGAATAAACCCTCCCTCCAAGCTCCCTCTTCACAGGCCCCTACAACGGTTCTTTTCCACTAAGGGAACTGCCTCGTTGGAAGACAACCGTTTGAAGACCCTGAAGCATGCCAAAACATCGTTCTCTGGATTCCAACGGCACGGATCAACCTGACTGTTGCGTCTTGACGATCTTGAATCGTGCCAGAACGCCACTCCTGGGACTTAAACACCGCGAATTAGCGTAACTGTTACACCCTCATATTCCTGCATCCTTCCAAAACACCATCTCTGGCTTGTTCATCATGGGAATCCGTGAATCTCAAATCATTTGTTACAAACGTGCGTGGCGCTAAAGCGAGAGCCACATGTTATAAACCATCCGCCCTTAAACCGTGAAGCTCTTGCAGTATATTTCAACGAGTGTGCGCGGCGCTAAGGCGAGGGTCACATGTTGAAAACCACCAACCCTCAATCCGTGAAACTATTGCATTAAATTGAACGGATGTGCGCAACGCTAAGGCGAGAACCACATGTTGAAAACAACCCGCCCTCAATCCGTGAAGCTCTTCCAATTTGTATACATGCATACAGACAGACAGACAGACAGACAGACAGACAGACATACACACATACAGGCATACACACCTACACACATACACACATACATGCATACGTACATACATACATACATACATACATACATACATGCATACATACATACATGCGTGCATGCATACATACATACATACTTACATACTTACATGCATATATATATATATATATGCACTTACACACATATATATATATATATATATATATATATATGCGGCGCTAAGGCGACAACCACATTTTGAAAACCATCCGCCCTCAATCCGCGAAGCTCTTGCAACTTTGCAGCAAGAGCGTGCGCGGCGCTGAGGCGAGAGCAACATTTTGAAAACGACCCACCCTCCATCTGTGAAGCTGTTGCCAATTGTTAAGCTTCAGGGTCATAAATGGTGAAAAAGTCTCTGGCGAAACGCCCGGCCCGCCCTAAAAAATTGCCTCGGGGTGCGACAGGGAAAGGCTACGTACCTATGAGGAAAATGAATGGAGGAGGAGGAGGAGGAGGAGGAGGAGGAGGAGGAGGAGGAGAGAAGGAGGAGGAGGAGGAGGAGGACAACGGGGGGAGGGGGAGGATGACGGCGAAGAGAACTAGAACAAAGACGAGCGTTCTCCTCATCATCTATTGCTCTGCGCTGTCGAGTAGCTCCAGCGGGGACACTTCTCCTCATCTCCCTCTTCCTCCTCCTCTCCTTCTCCTCCTCCTCCTCCTCCTCCTTCTCCTCCTCCTCCTCCTCCTCCTCCTCCTCCTCCACGCTGGGGCGCAACGAAGCAAATTGGCGGCGCACAGAGGGGGGTATGGGGGGGAGGAAGGCTTCTTAGGAGGCTGCTTCTGAAGAGGCGCCGGCCTTACATCTACAGATGAGGCCCACGCCTTCAAAGAAGCAGTCTCCCTGGTGAGGGTATTCGAGAAGTAGCCCTTCGATCAGGAATCCAGGGTCTGAGAGCCCGGGGAACGCCAACTGAGGCTCTGGCATGAATATCACTGCCGCCCTCATTAGATAACGCACACTCCAGGGTCTCAAACCTCCTGGGCACATTCCTTAACGAACACCCCCAGCGTACGGCACAACAGGAGAGAAGATACCGAACGGGAGGGCTTCAGAGACAGCCCTAGACATGCGACGTCCTGACTTTTTCAGTGCGCGGTCCCCGGAAGTCCCGACCTTTTCCCCAGCACCGGCTTTCCATCCTGAATCGTTTTTCGACGGTCCCGAAGCCCGGAGAAAGGCCTCCAGAGGCCGAACACGGGCAAAAACCTTCCGTCGTGTTTTTCTTTTTTTCGGGGATGGGCAGACCTCCCTTTAGTAAAACGTGGTTTAGTGAAAACGCCCTCGGGCCCAAACCTGGCGGGCGCAAGCCTGGAACATGACGGCCGCGCCGCCCTCTCGAGAACCGAAAACGGCAAATTCCTTAATCGACGTGTCAGGGTAGGAGGTCTGTCCACCCCCGATTTGTTTTGTTCACGACGCGACCGTGTCTGGAGCGGAGCGCCACCAACTCCCGACCCTGGGGCGCACAGCGCTCCGGGAGAACGCCGCCGGGAGCGGCTGCCCTGGGCTGCCCTGGGCGCTGCTCGGGGGGCCCGCGGAGGCCAGCTGGGGCTGCTCGGGGGGGGGCCTGCGGGGAGGCCAGCCAGGACTCCTCCTCCTCCTCCTCCTCCTCCTCCTCCTCCTCCTCCTCTTCCTCCTCCTGCTCCTTCTCCTCCTCCTCCTTCTCCTCCTCCTCCTCCTGCTCCTCCTGCTCCTCCTTCTCCTCCTCCTCCTCCTCCTGCTCCTCCTTCTCCTTCTCCTCCTCCTCATCCTCCTCCCCCTCCTCCTCTTCGGGGGGCCCGCGGAGGCCAGCCGGGGCTGCTCGGGCTGCGGGGAGGCCAGCCAGGACCGCAGTCGAGGTGCTGCCAAAAGGCACGCCGAAGAAGGAGCACAGGGGGCTTTTCTTGCCCATGCCCCTCTGGAAACCGCGCCTTCCTGGGCGGAGCGGACTACTCCAGATTTCGTAATAAAGGGAGGGGGGTCTCATTTCGGGGGGGGGTCTTTTCCAAGCTATCTTGGAGGGCCTGGGGGGATCTGGGGACGATGTTTTGGAGGGTTCTCCCACGGGGGGGGGTCTGAAATTGCTTGTCTTGGAGGGTCCAGACCCCCTCCCTTTTATTACGAAATCTGGACTACCAGGTCCCTACTGGCGACCAGTGGGCGATCGAGGGTCGCGTTTCCCACCCCGAGCCCATCCCCCTCCGATGGCCCTCGTCGCTCGGCCTTCGGGCCACGACTCCGACCTCTCGGCGGCCGCTCGGGACGAGCCGAGCGCCCGTGGAGGCGCCCCCGGCGAGGCGCGAATCCGCTGGAGGGCATGCCGAGGCTGGAAAACCTCCGAGAAGCAGAAACAGGCTGCCAGAAGCTGTGCAGTCGAGGTACGACCAGAAGGCACGCCGAAGAAGGAGCCAAGGGGCTTTTCTGGCCACGGTGGGCCTAGGCCACAAGCAAGTCCCGCGGCGTAACTCTAAGAAACGACCCAACTCCCCGAGCCCCTTCGGAACCCAAGGCGGTCCTTATTGCGGCGTCTTGACTGTACCTGGGGGCGGGGCTGTCTGTGCGCCACCCAGGGCCCGACCAGGACAAAGCCTTCCTCGACGCCCTCGAGGCCGTCTTCCAGAGCCGCTTCGCCGCTGTCACGCTCCGCGGGCAGCCTGTCCCGCTCGGCCCGCCGCGGGTTGGCCCGAGGCGAAGGCAAGCTCACGGCCGTTTTGGACGTCTGCCCTGTGGACGGCCCCAGAACGTCCTCGCCACAGCAGGCACCAGGAGGAGGCACCTACGAACCCAGCCACCGTGGGGCGGCCATGTGGTCTGCGCTGGATGGGTCCGGAGAAACTCGGTCATGAGGGGGTGGGCAAGGCCAAATCTGTTCAAACTGGGCCCCAGGGTCGAGACTGATACCTTCTGATTAGCCGCGCGTCCTGCCGTGGCCACGAGGGGGCCCCTTTCTCCCCCCTCTGCTGGCCGGAACCAGTGCTGGGCCACTTCAGCCCCCCAGCTGGTTCCCCCCTGGCCGCCACGGCCGCCACGGCCACCCATCCGCACGTGACCATCTGGTGCGAGCCTGACGCCAAGACGGATGCCACCCTTGCCGTCGCAGCCAGGCACGGGGCCTGCGGCGCCACGGCCCGGAACTTTTGCCCTGCGTGTCGCAGCGGCGGCCCTGGCTGTACGCCGTGCCCTGTGAGCGGACAGCGTGCCTCCCCGCTCCGCGGGGCGGGAGCCCTTGGCAAGCTCGGGACGTGGATGCTTCAGCAGCGCGACGTGGATCGCTCGTCGCGCCGCCGCGTGCTGGGCCAGGACCGGCGTGCGCGACACGCGCTGAGCGGAAGTTCCCGACCGCAGGCCAACGGCGTCAGCCGCGTCGGCCTCCGGGCACCGCGGGGCGGCGCGGCCGCCAGGACCGCCGCCCTCGAGCTGCGCTGCACCGAGGCTGCCCTCTCCGAGTGCCACGTGCCGAATCGGTGGCCTCGAGTCTCAATTTGGCGGCGCGCACAAGGGGGTGGGGGGAGGGGGGAGGGCTTCTTAGAAGGAGGCTGCTTCTTAGAAGGCGCTGGCCTTACATCTATAGAGAAGGCCCGCGCCTTCTAAGAAGCAGGGGTTTCTAAGAAGCCTTCCCCCCTCCCCCCACCCCACTCTGCGCGTGGCTGATCAATGCGCCGCCACAGGTCAAGCTGCCACCGCCCCGCAGGTGCCCACTTGGCCATCCGAGGACTGCGCGGGAGGGGCCGGGCCCGCCTCGGGACACTCCGCCCGCGCCCGCGCGCGCACGGCACGGCCCTCCGCGCGGGCGCCACGGCGAGGGTGAGCGGGTTCGGCGCCCCCTGGACCACCGCGGCGGTGGACGACCCTGGAGAAGCCGCGGGGCCACAACCGCGCTCGCCACGCCCGCGACACGGGACGCGATCCGCCAAGTTCCAGCGACCACCGCTGGGCAGGCGCCGCCCAGGCCACCCACCCCTCCAAGGAGGGGCGGCGCAGAGACCCTGCCTCCGAGCCCTGCTCGCAGGCGCCGGGCGCCCTGCTCGCTGCCACCGCCCCAAGGCCTCCCGCGCGACCCCGCGCCGGAGTTCATCGACGTCGAGGGAGCCGACGACGTCGACGACGACGACGACGACGACGACGACGACGACGACGACGACATCGCCCGACCGAAGCTCCAGAAGTGAAACACCGAGCCCTGGGAACCTAGCCTACCGAAGCCATCCACAGCCGGACAAAAAGCTGGCCTCAGGCTGCGCTCAGCAGCCAACTCGGCACGAGCATCCTGCCCCCCCCCC